ATTCCATGTAGCCAGAGAAGGAAACGCAAGATAGCATAGGAACAGGACCTGCACCTACACTAAGACAAATGATGGCACTGAGACAATGCACATGCAGTCAAGTAACTGCATAGAGTAGCGCTTCTCAGCCTGTGGGTAGTGGCCCCTTTGGGGGTTGCATATCAGATATCCTGCATATCAGATATTTACATCATGATTCATAACAGTAGCAAAGTTACAGTAGCAATGAAATAAATTTCTGGTTGGGGATCACCACAACATGAGGAACTGTATTAAAGGATCACAGCGTTAGGAAGGTTAAGAACCACTGGCATAGAGAAAACCTCTACCTGTGCATATGCAGAGACTATACTAGACAGTTTGCATCTATTATAAAGCAAGTGACTGAATAAAGCCATTGCACATGTGAATGACCACACAGAGACAGTATGTTCCTGTACATTCACAAGTGACCAGAAACTCTGCCCCTGCACACACACAAGGCACTAAACAGTCTATACCTGTACTCATGAAAGTGACTGTATAGATACAGACACAATTTGCTATCTAATTTTAATTCTTCTCACTCCTTCCCCTTCTCCCTCTCCCTCTTTCTCTGGAGACAGTCTTTCCCAAAAGACCCAGGCTGTCCTGGACTGGGAGATCTCCCTGCCTCAGCCTCTCAGGCACAGGAAGTGTTTTAGGTTGTATGGGTGCAAGTTTCTATCCACTCTACTATTCATGCTACCTGTATAAAGTGAGGACATGACTGCTCCAAGGTATGGCTGAGGGGAAGATTTTTATTGTAGACATGAGGGAGAGTACAGTCAGAGGCATCTGGAAGTGTCCAGAGAAGGAAGAAAGTAGTAGACTGAACACAGTCAGTAGAATGAACCAGGCCCTGAGAAGAAGGATTGGGGGAAGACAGAAAGGGGGAGAGACAGAGACAGAGACAGAGAGGAGAAGGAGGAGGAGGAGGAGGAGGAGGAAGAGAAGGAAGAAAGAAGAAAGAAGAAGAGAGGAGAGCAGGAGATCCCAGAGAGGGGTCCAAGAGAGAGCATGGCTCAAATAGCAGGGTTACAGAGGAATGAGAAGCTGGGAGAAGGGAAGCCCATGAGCTGGAGAAGTTTAGGGTAGGGGGTGGGGTGAGAAGAGCTGAGAGGTGCTGGGATGCCAGGATGGTTTCTGTAACAGGTACTTGAAATGCTGAGAGAGCCTAGATGCCAGCATGTTCTTTGGTATGCTAATAGGCACCACAGTTAGCCATTTGTCCCAGGTTTCTTTTGGTCTGACACTACCTATCTCTTTTCTTGTTTATAACCCCCCTTCTTTTCACATTACTTCTTTTATCATTTCTCCATTGCTCTTACATAGATTACTAGGCTTACTTATTGTATTTTCCTTCCTGTCCTATCCCTGGCAATAAGTACATTAACAGATACTGTAATATCCTCATTCTTTTAGTCTCCCAAAGTTACTGGAGTTGAAGTAGAATTTGGCTTTGATTTAGTTATTACTATCCTTCCTAGAAGTCCTCAGCATCTAGGAAAGATTCTGGGATCATGCCCTGAGCACATAAACTGAGGGTTTCATTACTGAACCATTTAGTATATGAGGAAAAGTAACACTTCAACTCTACAACCTAGTCATACTGGAAAAAATCACAAACATGTTAACTGAAAGAATACAGGGGAAAAGTACATTGGGGGTGGGGGAGGAGGTCATGGAACTCTCTTTGTAGACCAAGTTGGAACTCAGAGATCCACCTGCCTCTGCCTCCTGAATGCTGGGATTTAAGGTGTGTGTCACCATGTCCAGACCCACCCCCCCCTTTTTTTTTAATCAGTAAACTAATACAAGATGTCCATGTTCCATCAGAAACACAGGAAATATGAAAAATCAAGGCAACATGACTCCTCTAAAAATTACCAATTCCAAGTAATGGATTCCAATGAGAATGAATAAGATAAAATTCTAGAGAATTCAAAGAATGACAATAAGAATATTCAATGAGGTCATGCAAGGTACACATATGTGTGCGCGCACACACACACACACACACCAACAACAACAAAAAAACTTTGGAATAAATTCAAAGAGAATATAAATGACTCTGAGAACATGAAAAAGAGTTCAACAAAGATATAGAAACAGTCAAAAGAAATTTTATAAATGGAAGCATCAAAAGGCCAAATAAAAAGCACAGTGGAAAGACTTATTAGTAGATTGGGTAAAGTACATAGACAACAAATATAAGAGGCTGAAGATAAGGTATATGAGTAGCTGCAGACCCACACATACACACACACACACACACACACACAAATAAAGAAGCGCTACCACATGATCCAAGTTCTGGGTACATACTCAAAGCAATTGTAGTGAGCATATCACAGAGACACTTGTGCATACAAAGTTTATTGGAGCACTAGTCACTATCACCATGTTATGGGATTAGCCTATGAATAAACACTGAAAATAAAGTCATAATGAAACCCATAACTTTATATGCTAAACCTAATAATTAATAAATTTTTAAAGAAAATATGGCATATATACATAAAGGAGTTTTTTTTTTTTTTTTTTTGGTTTTTCGAGACAGGGTTTCTCTGTGTAGCTTTGCGCCTCTCCTGGAACTCACTTGGTAGCCCAGGCTGGTCTCGAACTCACAGAGATCCGCCTGGCTCTTCCTCCCGAGTGCTGGGATTAAAGGCGTGCGCCACCACCGCCCAGCACATAAAGGAGTTTTAAGGAGCCATAAATAACTGAATTATGTCATTTGCTGGAAAATAGACACATCATACTAAGCAAAATAAGCCAGGTAAAGTTACCTGTTTTTTTCTCATTTGTAGAGCCTAGATTTTTATACAGACACATAAGACCACATATATGACAGGAAAACAGAGACATTGGAGGAAGTAATGTATCTAGCAAAAGGAAATGGGAGAATAAATAAAGTGTATAGGAGGTGAAAATGGTCAAATTGCATGAACCCTGGAACTATCTTTATAGGCTCTCCCAAAAGGAAGTAAAAGGGAGACAATTAGGGACATGGGAGGAAATAAAGTAGGTGGTGATAGATAAGAGAGGATAGTGAGGGTAATTTTATATGCACCTATGAAAATGTCACAGTGAAACCTTCTTAGTATGATTGGTATATATCAATTTTAAAAGATTTAGTAATATAAGCAACACACTGGGAAAAAGTAATAATTTAAATACATGTCAAAAATTTTTAAAAATAGATTGAGCTACAGAGATGGCTCAGCAGTTGAGCATTGTTCTTGCAGAGGACTGCATTTGGAGTCCCAGCACCTGAGTTAGGAAGCTTACAACTGCCTATTACTCTAGTTTCAGGTGGATTCAATGCCTCTGACCAGGATATTAGGGAACCTGCACTTGCATGCACATACTCACATAAAGACACATACATGTACACATTATCTAAGATAGCTATCATTAAAAACTAAAATAGACATCATTAAAAAAAAAAGAGGATGTTCTCTGATTACAGTACCTTTCCCTCAAAAATAAGGAATAAGACAAAGGTATTGATTCTGGTCACTACTACTCAACATTGTACTTAAGAGTCTAGCCAGGGAAACTGGGGATGGAAAAGTAGTTTAAAAAGTGTTCAAATGGGTCAGGCAGTGATGGCACATGCCTTTATCCCAAACTTGGGAAACAGAGGCAGGCACAGTTCCAAGTTCAAGGCCAGTCTGGTCTACAGACTGAGTTCCTGGACAGCCAGGGACACACAGAGAAACCCTGTCTTGGGGGAAAAAAAAAGGTGTTCAAATGGGAAAAAAAAAATATAAAGCAAAATTTATAGACGATATCATCTGATCTTACATCTGTAATAGAATCCTAAATAGAACCAATAGATAATTATTAAACAAACACAGGATATAAAATTAAAATGCAAAAATGGTTACATTTGTATATACCAGCAATAAATAATTTCAAAAAAATTTTAAGTAAACGAGAGAATCAAAAAAATATTTGAGAATAAATTTAACCAAATTAAGTCAACTAATGTACTTAGAAAATACAAAACACTGTGTAAAACATTAATGATCTAAATAAGCAGAAAGTGGGCTAGGATTCTTAATATCATCAAGATCCTCCTCAAGTTGATCTATAGTCAGTGAAATATAGTTCCGACCGGATGATTTGTAAAAACACTACACAGAAACTCAAGTGGAAAGGGCTGGAAAGATGGCTTAGCAATTAAGAACACTTCTTGCAGAAGACGTGGTTCTGTTTCCAGCACCCAAGTGGTGGTTTACAACTGTCTGTAAACTCCAGTTCTAAGGGATCTAATGTCCTCTTCTGACCCCCCCATTGTACCAGGCATGCACATGATGAACATATATACATATATACAAGCAAAACACTCATACAAATGAAATAAGCAATTATTTTTAAAAATTTGCTTTTAAATTTTCTTAAAAGAAAAAAAAAGTCCAAATCCAAGACGGTATTGACCTCACCGCCAATCTCTTCGCATCACTGAAAAACCACTATAAACCCGTCAGGAGATGCAGAAGCTAACCAAAATATGGGAATAATATTAGTTCTCAGTTTTCCAGTTGCTATACTCCCACTGCTGCATATACCAGAAACAGTCAAGAAAGAAAACAGTAAAGGGGTGGGGTGGGGGGGGGTGGGGAGGGTTTCAGACAAGGACTTACAATGTGGCCTAAGCAATCCTGGAACTCTCCATTCTCCTTCCCCAGTGCTGAGATTACAGGTTTATACCAACATGCTCAGCATTAAACATAATATGTCAAATGCTTGCTATACTAACTACAAATAAAGATTGGTGACTTCTAGTATTTGTTTAAAAATAGGCACACAATAAGCATTCCCAAAAGTATTTTATCAAGCATACTAATGGAGTTAGACTACCTATTCAAACTCAAAATTGTATCAATCCTGTTTCTAGTCTTTTAAAGTGGAGCATTTTTTCTCCTCACAGAAGTTAGGGCTAACACATAACATTTTATTAACTAACTCACCTTATGAGCAGCAAAACTTGACTCGTTTTTCTCTAGTGCTTTTTTTGCATACTCTAGGGCTTCATACACCAAAGCTTTTTTTTCCTCTTCTGAAGTCCTACTAAGCTGTGCTATGTCACGTGATGCTCGTGCCAAACGCCACAGTAACTCTGCATCTTCACTAATTTTGGACAAGACATAAAACCGTCTTAATTCACACTAAAAAACTGTTAAATGTCGCATCACTAATGAAAGTTCTTTCAGCTGAGTTAGGATGTATCAGGTATCATATAAGAGGCATTATTAATACTATTATTTTCTTTCATAAAAGCCTTTATTTGCTAAAATCTATTGAAATTTTCCAAATTATTGGCAAACACACACACACACACACACACACACACACACACACACACACACACACACACACACAATATCTAAAACAGTGACCTCTTTAAAAAATATTTTTGTATTTCAGTTCTCTGAACACTTACTTGTCTTCAAGCTCAACATATATCATGAGGCTTGATTTACTAACATTGTACTTCATACAACTCCTAACTGGCTCAGATAGTACCATAAAATACATTAGCTTTATGCACAGGATCATACTCTATAAAAATGGAACTGCCAAATCCTTTTCCCCAAATATATTTGGCAAAAAGAGATGTGTGATAGTTACTCATTTGTACATGAATGAATGATTGAACAAATGCAATCTTGAACTAAATCCTAAGTTTCAGTGCCATGATGTTGTATGACATATTTCAAGTAAGGGCACTAGACTCCTTAAGAACTATTATTTAAATACAATCATATGAAACAAAAAATGGCTAATAAATTAAAAATCACAGTGGATAAAAAATGTTTTAACCTTGAATTACTTTTTATTAAATGTGTGTGTTTAAAGCCTAATTTGTATTTTTTTCTTTGTTAATGAAAAATAACATTCACATAAATGTTGAAGCTAAAGGTAACAAAAAAGTATGTTTATTATTCAGTTACATGGAATAATTACACCTCATAGCTTACTTTTCAAATAAGCAATGTAAAATGCTAAAACAGCCAACTCATAAAAAAACACTGAAGAAGTAAAGACTGATTCTATAGATACTTAGCAACTGAAGTTGATAGGAATGGGGCGGGGTGAAATTATTAATCCAAGTAGATGAAAAGCAACTCAATATTTCCAGAAGTAAATACCTGGAAATGTCATTTAGCCATATTTAACTCATAGGGTTGAGGTTTCCACCCCTACCCTCTGAAAGAATGCACACTGATATTCTATAGTAAACATGTAATCTAGAACTAAAAACAGAATATGGAAGTGTTTGGTGTTTCTTTGAAAACTCTAAACACAGCTGCCATTCAGTAGTGCCATAGAACTGTCCAAAACTCCAGTAAAGTCATTTAAATCTTATTCCAATTAGGAATTACTTTTTTAAAAAACAAGAAATATGGGTGATGAGAAAATGCATATATTTAGTGATACTTTTATGAACCAATGCAAAATAGAAAAAATATTTCAACATTCCAGTAAAATAAGAATAGTCTTTACAAATCAATGAGATTCAAATAGCACTTTTCAATCATTTACTTTAAATAATGATTTACTATAAACTGAACTCTAAGAAATACTACTTTGAGTAAAAAAAATGTCATACAAAAATTTTAATACCAAGAACCATTTCATTGTTAAAAAAAACTTTTTGGGTTAACTTCAAACCCAGGAAAATCATACATTGCTTACCTTTCTTTGTACTGTGTGAGCAACTGATAAAGCTTCTCTGTTTCTCCACTTTCATATAGGTAGTCTGCTTGCTCAAGTATTTCCTCAACTTCCAAAATCATAAAATGAAAAAAGATTGCCACTGTTATATATGCTAACAAAACCAGACACAGAAACTACCTTTAAATCAGAAATTCTGAACAATCCAGATAAAAGTACTGGAGCAGTAAGCCTGAAGCAATTATAGTAAGTGATCTACTGAAACTGGAGAGCATACAACTTAGAGAACATGGGATACTAAATTTGGTGAATACAGTTTTAAAAAATGAAAGAGAATGATTCCTTATGAGGAATTTATGACACTGAAACTACAATCTTTTTGCTGCTGCTGTTAATTGTCATGCCCTGTAGGAAAGGATAATATAGGGACTGGAGAGATGGTTCAGTGGTTAAGGCTAGAGTTCAGTTCCTAGTAGACATGTCTGGTGGCTCACAACCACCTATCAGACACCCTGTAAATATCAGAGACCCTCTTCTGTCCTTCTTGGGTAAATAAATGTTCATTCATACTAATTCCTCCCCCCTCTGTCTTTCTCTCTCCTCTGTCTCTGTCTCTCTCTCATACACACATACACACAAATAAATAATAAATTTTTAAAGAAAATGATATAGTCTATCTACTTGCAGAACTACAAACACACTATTTTACTATATTTTCTTATTATCTAACTTATACATACACTGTAAAAGTCAAACCTGTCATAAACTTAGACAAAGCTAACCACACAGAGAATCTGTAACGTAATTTATTGGCACTGTATTCCATGCAAGTCTTAAAACTATTACACATGATTATAAAATACATATTGATCATAAAAATATTAATCACACTCTAATGCCCCCAAAATTTGTTTGTTTACTAAAAACACAGTAAGTTTGAATCCCAGGAAGTTCCATTTATTACTTAGGTACACATGAATTTAAATTTTGCCTTCTATAAGGGTACCATATTATCTACTCCTCCTATAAGCTTGTATTCAATTTATTATTTATCTTGATTTTTTATTTTAAATTCTTTTTCTTTTATGTATATGAATATTTTGACAGCATGTATGTCTGTGCATCATGTGTGTACCTGGTGACTGAGAAGACCAGAAGAGGGTGTTGATCCCTTGGAACTGGAGTTAAAATGGTTATGAGCTGCCATGTGAGTACTGGAATGGAACCCAAGTCCTCTGGAAGAGCAGCCAGTGTTTGACACTTTCAGCCCCATTTTGATATATTTTAGTCATAGTCTTTTGAGGTTAAAAGTTTAAGTTAAAAAAATTAAAATCTATTAGACCAACACAAAACCATGAAATTCATAGCATAGCCATACTGTAAGTTAATATCACCAACTATATTACTTATAAATTGGATGACAACAGTAAAGAAACACTAAAATTTATTAAAGTTTTTTTTCCTTACTAATTGCACTTCCATCTGATTAGTTAGGATCAATTCTAATACATTCATTTGGTTGGTTAATTTATGAAGTTTGCTTCAATTGTATTCCATTTTATTATTTATATATGAATAAATAGTTAATTTGTCAAGTCTAATTTTAAACACAAGTTTTAGGATAAGTAGCAATTTCACTATTATTACAATTAAGTAATTTTATTTTAACATATTTTTTGAGGTTTATTATTTTTATTTTTATGTATATTGGTGTCTTGCCTGCATGTATGTCTTTGTACCATGTGTATGCAATACCTGTAGAAGCCAGAAGAGACAATTGGATCCCCTAGAACTAGAGTTACAGACAGTTACTAGCCACGATGTGGGTGCTATAAATCAAACCTGAGTCCTCTTCAAAAGCAGTAGGTGGTCTTAATCACTTAGCTATCTTTCTAGTCCATTTATGTATTTTTTAACTCTCAATATATATTACAGGGTAACAGGGAACTTACACTCTTGCCTCTACTTTCCATGTTCTGGGATTAGACAAGTACCAAATGAACAACTTAATAAGTCTGTACTGTCTTAAGTTACCAACTTTGCCAGAATAGTGACAAAAATACTAATATAATACTAAAGCATATTACTTGGTAATCTCAATAGTTACATAAAAATATATAAACAGCAGTTAATTTTATTTATTACTCTACAACTCCTGAAAACTAGTTAATGCTCTTAACAGGAATTCTATATCTCATCCTGCCAGTAATTTAAAAATTACATTGCTGCAGTGAATAATCTTTTTGTGTATATTCTAATAACTTCTCAAGCCACTTAGCTCCAATTTCTTTATTAAATTTTATATTGTGATACATTATAATATACAGAGTTTAAAAATATGTGTAATCTCTTCCGATTCTAAGAAGGAATTCTGAACACCACACAGTATATGACATATAAGAAAAAAAAATAGTTATAGTACTATGGGGTCACATAGGTACTCTGGTAGGAGCATGCAGACCACTCCATGCACGTATCTGAAAATTGGTTGTTCTCTGATTTAATATTCTGCAGTGTCCTGAAATATTTAAAAATAAACAATGCTGCTGACATAGAAACCACATTCTAGAAAACAATCTAAACATCTAGAGTAAACTACTTTCAACCTAAATTATGACAATATAGATATTCTAAGATAAGGTAAGAAACACAACTATACAGTGAAATCTTAAACTTGACCTGAAATGAATACACACAAGTTGATAACAGTTCTGCAAAAACTTTTCAAAGAAAGAAATGCCAATGGTGTGAAACCTGGCATGTACATGTGCTAGGAAACTTTGACTTTCTAGTTTTTTGTTTGTTAAATGAACTGCAGTCACATCAGAGTCATCAAGACAAAGATAAAATACTCCTTAAGTTTTGCTCAGGGGAGCTGGAGAGAAAGTTCAGCAGTTAAAGGTTAGGCTCACAACCAAAAATATAAGTTTTCTTAGGCAACCAAAATTTTCATACTTCTATGTTTTCTTTATGTAGGACTTAATACATGGAAAATATTCATACTGACAGTCAAGGATCAATACAACATCATCATCCAGATCTGAGGCAAATCTTTCATACCAGTAATTCTGTGTGTCTCACAAGTACAGAAAACAATGCTATTAAAAATACCAGGAAAAGCAGTGGCGCATGCCTTTAATCCCAGCACTCGGGAGGCAGAGCCAGGCAGATCTCTGTGAGTTTGAGGCCAGCCTGCCCTACAGAGCGAGATCCAGGTCAGGCACCAAAACTACACAGAAAAACCCTGTCTTGAAAAACCAAAATAAATAAATAAATAAATAAATAAATAAATAAATAAATAAATAAATAAATAAATAAAATAACAGGTAATATTACTTAAGTAGTACTGAACTTCTGTAGGTTTCTTCATCTTTGAGGGATGTTTCAAAAGTATGAAAAGAAGGGAAATGAAGTGATACATGAAGAATCTTTAGGTTGCTCACCTGTGACTAACTCAACTTCTAAGTAGTTTAGAAGTAAGCTTTCACTTGCAGGAGAGTACTGTGAATATACTAATCTATGCCACAGAATTTAAATGTATCCATTTTAAAGAAAAAAATTTTGAAGTTGTTCACTGTGTGTATTCACTTCTTGCCAGACTAGGTATTTGCTACCACCTTGTGGTGAGCACAGATATTACCATTTAAAAAACTAAAAAAATCCACAGTGATTGTGTGGAGGGCCCAAAGCAGCTTGACCAAACAGCTGCCATGACAGGCTTAGAGGCCCAGACACAGCTTCTATGACAGGCTTACTGGCAGGCAACACACAGATCCAGGAAAAGCCATAAGCTGACCCCTACCCAGGGTCTAAGGGGATATACCTGACATTCCAAACATTCCCTATACCCTTAGACAAATGTCAGCCAATCAGGGTCCTGAACCCTGGAAATGCCCTCACTCCAACCTCTGCTATGATAAAAACCTCACCTTGCCCAGGCTTGGACTCTCTGCTCTCACCACTGCATCGGACAGAGAGGCCAAGCTCTGAGTTTGAAATAAAGGCTCTTTGCTTTTACATATGGGATTTGGTCTCTGTCGTGGTCTTTTGGGGGGTCCCCATGATATAGGCATAACAGTTGAGTGTGCCTAGCATGCAAAGAGCCAACTACCTTGATTAAACAGAAAAAAAGATTGGTATTATGAGGCCCAGAAAACAAGCCATAGTGGGTATGAAGTGACACACTATCACTTGTGCCAATATGCCATAGGACTAACACCAGCCAGGAAGTTCAGCCAGCTCATTATGGAAGACTACCCAAGGGCAGGCATCTCAGGAAGGGAGCAGGGGCATAAAGGGAAATCAACTTGGAGACAGCAACACTAACGGGCCTTTGTTTCTTTCCTTTGTTATTTCCTACCCAAGGGTGTACTGAAGAGAGTTTCATTTTCTTTTCTCTCTACTGGCTTGGAATATATTCTATATCTGTTCTTTCTTTAGTCATCTGTGGTGATCTGAATAAGAATGGTCCCCATAGGCCCATATATTTGATTTCTTAGTCAACAGGGAGTGGCACTATTTAAAAGGATTAAAGGTGTGGCCTTTCTGGAGGAAGTGTCATTGGGGGTGGGCTTTGAGGGTTCAAAAACCCAAGCCAGGTCCTAGTGCCTCTCTCTTCTTGCTCCCTGTGGATCCAGATGTAGAACTCTCAAGCTACCTCTCCAGCACCAAGCTGGCCTGCTCCCATGCGCCCTGCCATGATGATAATGGGCTAAACCTCTGAAACTGTAAGCAAGGTCCAATTAAATGCTTTCTTTTATAAAAATTGCTGTGGTCATGGTGTCTCTTCATGACAATAGAACACTGACTAAAACAGTCACCTTTAATTTTTTCACCTGTATATTATATCTATATAACATACATATTATATAACAATGTTTGAAGTTGGGCTAGGGGTACTGCCTTTAATCACAACTTGGGAGGTAGAGGCAGTTGGACCACTGTGAGTTTGAGGTTAGCCTGGTGTCATACTCAGTTCCAGTCCAGCCAGAGCTACACAGTAAAGCTCCATCTCAAAATATAAAAGAAGATAACATGTCTGAAGTTAATCACTGTCCTATGGAATATACCTCTGAACTTCAGTTTCCTTTTGCTCGTTTTATTGCTTTTGTGTGTGTGTGTGTGTGTGTGTGTGTGTGTGTGTCTAACTTTGCTGTTTTTGTTTGTTCTAACAGTACTGGGGATCAACCCAAGGCCTTGTAGTGCTGGGCAAGCACAATACCACTGTGCTACACACCCAATTCTTTTGTTTGAATTTTCAGACAAAGTCTCTGTGTAACCCAGGCTGGCCTCAAATACTAGATCCTCCCAGCTCAGCCTCTCAAGTATGGGGACTACTGTTTTGTCTTTAAGGCAACATTTTTATTCTTATACAGTCTGTGCTTGCTTGAATTTCTCACAAAAAAATATTTTCACTCTTGGTTCATAGTACCATTACTTCCGAGATTTACTACCTGAGTAGTTTATTCCATGTTTACTAGCTGAGTGGTCCAAATTTTATTAAGCCATTAAAAAGGATCAGCCCAACTTCTCCAGACCACCAATTTCTGTTTATTTTTTGTTATTTCCTTCCTTTTACTTAATTTGAGTATTCTGATAGTCTCCTCCTAGTATCTGAAGTTGGACACTTTATTTCTCCACTGTTTTATTTTAACAAACGCAGCTAAGGCAATTAATTTTCTTCCAATTTCCACTTTAACTTAGTGTTAGTCCATATTTTATCCTTCGTTGTGAATTATTTAGAAATTATCACATACTGGATTTCCTTGGCCAGCTTTTTATTGTTGATTCCTACCCAGTTACATTAGAGCTGAAAAATGTGAAAAAAATGATAGTAATGTTATTAGTAGTACTGGGGATTGAACTCAGGACCAAGGGCAAATAATTAATCTGCCATGGCCTTGTGCTGATTATTAGAAAAAAATTTAAACTTTTTTTAATATCAAGTAGAGGTTCCTTTTTATTCCTCTTGGTTTTATTTTCTAGGTGACTTTCTAAGAAGCCCAAGTTGGTCTTGAACCAAAAAAGAAAAAAGAAATCAATCCTATGAGGTCCAGAATGTTGTGTCAGTCTCTAGGATGCTGAAAAAAAGGCACCAAACCTATGTCTAAGTATGCAGTATTTTAAAAATATTCCACAGGAGCTTGTAAACAATGCATTTTATTAATTCATATTCATCAATAGACTAAGCACCACTGCCATGTTGCCCCAAATTTCCATATCCTTATAAATACTTTATTACTTGATCCACTGTTTTGTTTTGGTTTAATTTTATATTTTTGAGGCAGGGTCTTAACTAGTAACTTGGCTAATCTGGAACTAAAAGAGATCTGCTTGCCTCCACGTCCTGAGTGCTAAAGGAACTAAAGGTGGGCAGCATCATGCCCTGGTGATTTAACTGTTTTGTTTGTTTGTTTGTTTGTTTGTTTGTTTTTAAATCTGAATTAGCTTTTCATGGGCAGGTTCTTCTACATATAGAGTTCTAGGCCATCCAGAGCTACATAGTGAGATCCTGTCTCAAAACAAACAAACAAAACACAAAAAAAACATAGACAGAATCAAACAAGAAGCAAAAATCTGAATTAGTGGTTCACCAAAATATATATGTGCTGCAAGGGGAAAAAAAAGCATGAATCAATCAATCCCATCCAATGGTAATACTAGTAATTTATATATAGGAGTCCCACATCCCAGCTCCTGATTGCCCCTTAGAAGACATATCCTCCCATACCGTCACCCCTTCTATTACACATACACAAAGTTCACGGGCCTCAAGAAGGTCTATCTTCTGAAAACGTATTTTTAATGTAACAGATATATAGAGACCTTTTCCCCCTAGACTAGGTCTCACTGTGTGACCATGGTTGATCTGGAAGTCATTAGGTAGATCAGGGTGGCCTTGAACTCACAAAGATCCACCTGCCTCTGTCTCCTGGGTACCATTTTCTTTCTTTCTTTCTTTCTTTTTTTTTTTTTTTTTTGGTTTTTCGAGACAGGGTTTTTCTCTGTGAAACAGCCCTAGATGTCCTGGAATTCACTCTGTAGAAGAGGGTGGCCTCGAACTCACAGAGATCTGCCTGCCTCTGCCTCCCGAGTGCTGAGATTAAAGGCGTGAACCACCACCGCCCAGCTGGGTACCATTTTCTTAAAGACAAGATAGTTCCATATAAATGAAATAGGCAACTAGAGTTTTCTGTTTGTTTTTCTGTTTTTTGTTGTTTTGTTTTTAAGACAGAGTCTCGCCAGGCGGTGGTGGCACACACCTTTAATCCCAGCACTCAGGAGGCAGGGCCAGGCGGATCTCTGTGAGTTCGAGGCCAGCCTGGGCTACCAAGTGAGTTCCAGGAAAGGCACAAAGCTACACAGAGAAACCCTGTCTCGGAAAAAAAAAAAAAAAAAAAAAAGACAGAGTCTCACTATGTAGCTCTGGCTGTCCTGAAACTTGCTATATAGACCAGGTTGGCCTAGAACTCACAGAGATCTGCATGCACCATCACACTAAGCTCTACCAACTAGTTTATAATAACAACCTCAAGTTCTTGTATCAGAACTTTAAAAGAATATCAGTTCAGTATTCAGTACTTCCCTTCCTTGATCACATTCTCCTTTAGGGCTACAAAAGAATCAATCCATAAACTGAAGTGGTATTCCTTTTATATAAGAAAAAATTTGCCCCTTGCTATATAAACTGACTTAATGAGATACGTTTTTTAATGGGCAAGCCTTAAAGTGTTTACTCATTTATGTTATGTCAAAGAAGAAATGAAATGGAATTTTCCCACTTTTTAACCAGTTACCTAATCATTGATACCAAGCTGCATTCTATTTGTAAATAAAATAATCCCCTCTCCAAATTCTAAACTAGAGGATAGCTTCTTTATTATATCGAGTATAACACTTTGGTACTAGAGAAATAAAAGAATCATTTTGTCATTCTAAAGCAAGAGTTGATAAACTTCTGCTATATATACATCTAGAGTTTAGAGTTTGTAGGCCATTCACTGTCTTTTGCTATCCTGTTTCATTCTATACACACAATGCATCTTCAAACGTTTCAAGATATTAAAAAAAAAATCTTAGCTTAAGAGTCTATAAAGAGGGCTCAGTGGATAAAAGGACTTCCCAGGAAGACTGACAAGTTAAGATGTATCTCCTGGCCCCATATAGTAGAGTGAAAGAATTCCCAAAGGTTGTCCACTGATGTTTGCTACCATGCTGTGGCACCCCACAAGCACACACATTAAATAAATTTTATATAACACACACACACACTGACTGATAGAGAAGAACATATAATACTATAAATTTCATTATGTATTCAAAAATAAGTTAATGATAAAATCTCACAATTAAGGGGCTGGCTTACATATTCACCCACCCACAAAAAAATCTTCAAGATCTTTAGCTTATGCTTACCTTTGGCTGTGGCATGAACTACGGCAGCCTGAGAAATGACTTGGTAGGTTTCAAAACCCAAATAAGACAAGGCTGAGAACAATAGGCCTCTCTTGAAAGGTCTTGTGTTTCCTATCACCTAGAGAAAAATAATATATTAAAATTATAAAACTTAGAAATCATAAAGAATTTTCAACCCCAAGCAAAAACATATACATTTTCTCCCACCTCCAAAGCAAGCAAGTAATTATAGAATGATAGAAGCTAAAAAAAAAAAAAAAAAACAAACAAAACCAAAAAACAGTTCCTTAGTAAAACTATTTCAAACCTTACATACAGTATATCTTAGTAATGGAGGTAGCAGTTTGTCTAAAGGTCAATTGTAGACTAAGAATGTAACTCAGGGGTAGAGCATCATGAATGAGACACTTGTTTCAAAACCCAGGACCTCAAAATGAATGAATGAATCAATCAATCGATTAATTAATTAATATAGCAAACATGACTCACATTATTATGGAAATCTTTTACAAAGACATAGATACTATAAATTGTATGGAATAATATTAATAATAAATTTATCAATTCAATGATCTTCTAAACCAACACATAACAAATACAGACAAGCTGAAAACTATAATTACTACACATAAAAATATATACAGCTCTCAGATAGGATACTAAAGACCCTATAGTTTTTAAATAGATGATGAATAATAATCATATTTAAGATGTGTATGGTACACATGCCTATAATCCCATTACTCAGGAGTTAGAGGCAGGCAGACCAGAAAGATATTCAAGGCCATTATCAGCAAAAGAGTTGCTGAGTTTCAGTTCAAGGCCAACTAGGATAGACCTGAGGCCCAGCCTCAAACAACAAAATATACAAGCAGATTTGGAATTGACTTATAACCAGATTGTTTTGACCAATTACAAGGACTATATGTCACTCCTACAACTCTTCCCCTTTTTCATCACTCTTCTATTTGACACAGTATCATTTTTTCCTTTTTGTCAAATCATTTGATCAGCATAAAAACAAACTGCTCTCTTTATTAAAAAGCAGCCTGTAATTTTTTTTTCAATCTTTTGGAGACTGGGTCCCATTTTATAGGCCAAGCTGGACTTGACTATCTTCCTGGTTCTCCTGTCTCTGCCTCCAGAGATGGGATTACAAGGTTCCAGCTCATTTATTTTGCTTTTAAAAAACAACCTTGGACCAGATATGTAACTCAGTGGTAAAGTACTTATGACAGCTATGTTTAATCTCAGTACTGAAAAAAATAAAACACACTTCCCCTTAATTTAAAATCTCATTTTGTCTCCATTCCCAACTCTTTCAAGAAGTTCTTTATTCTGTTTACTTGTTTCCACTTTCTAGTTCCCATTTTCTCTTGAACCCACACAGATTAAATATATATATATATATATATATATATATATATATATATTTAGACAGTGTTTCTGGTAGCCCAGGCTGACCCTGAACTCATTAAGTAGCTGAGGATAACCTTGAACTTCTGATCCCCCTGCCTTCACAGCTCAAAAGGACATACATGACCAAACCACTCTATAAATGCTATTCTAGTTAATAGCACCTACTTATTGTTTTGTTTCTCAGATTTTGGAATATTTATAGAAACATGATGAGATCATGTGGATAGGTCCCTAGTATACCCATGAAATTAATTTATGGTTTTTATGATCTTTGTACACAGAGCCTGCAAATAATTTTGTGTAATATTATTAGTGTGCCTGTGTTTTAACTTTGACCTGTTACAAGAAGTCAGAGTGGAATTTCCAATTCTATGGCACTCAAATGCCTTGAATTTTAAGGCATTTTGGGAGTTCAATTTTCAAATTAAGAATGCTTACTCTATATTTCCTGTGGTCAATTCTGAATTCTCATTGTACTTGGGCATATCAACAGCATTTGACAGCTAATTATTTTCTCTTAGAAAAAGACATTATAAGAATAAAAATAGACAAGTCATGGGCTGACACTAAATTTTAAAACCATCTCTATTGGAATATTTACATATAATAAACTACATACTTGAGGGTACAATTTTAACTTGTATAAACTAGGGAAATCCATTTTCACCACCACAATCAAGATGATAAACGTACTTATCAACTTAAAATTATCCTTTTTGTAATGTACTTTCCCAGCAAGTGTTTTGTTACTCTTAAAACAGTTCAGGTTGTTTTTGAAATATTATTCCCTTGGATTTCTTCCTGTCTCATGACTGTTACTTCTCTTTTATTAATTCATTTCCTTACCTGTTGTATGTGTCCAGGCTTAATCCTAAACCTCTGTTTTGTATTTGTGACCTTATTTCCTCTCACAGTTTTAAATGACAGATTTGACCCATTCTATCTCTAGCCTGGACGTCTCTTCTCAACTGGAGAGTCACTCAACATCTGTCTCTATGTGAAGTCTATTATGATTTTCAAGGCAGGGTTCTTCCCACCAAACTCTCTCTTCTCAGTTCCCCTATTAAAGAAATGGGAGCTGTATTCTCCTAGTTGCTCTCTTTTTTGTTTGTTTTGGTTTTATTTTTATTTTTAGATTCATCTATTTTATGTGCATGAGTGCTTTGCCTGAAAGTATGTATATGTTCTATGTGCATGCCTGGGACTTGCAGAGGTCAGAAGAGGGTGTCAGATCCTCTGGAACTGGAGTTACCAAAGGTTGTAAGCTACCATGTAGGTGCTGGGAACAGAAATGGGGTTCTAAGAAAGAGCATAACATGTTCTTAACAACTGCCACTGAGCTATCTCTCCAGCCTACTTGTCCAGTTTTTAAAAATAAACAAAAAACCACTGACTCGTCTAGATTTTCTCACAATCCATATTTAATTCACATCTAAACTTCTGATATAATCTTAGACTAGAAAAGGGAAAATACACCACATTCTAATTTGTTGAATGATTTGTTAAAATGAATATTCAAGATATTAGCACCTGTGAATTAAAAACGAATCAACAGCAAAATAGTATTTCATGTTCTGAATGAATTCTTAATTTTTTATTTTTTTGGTTTTTCAAGACAGGGTTTCTCTGTGTAGCTTTGTGCCTTTCCTGGATCTCACTCTGTAGACCAGGCTGGCCTCGAACTAGTATGCATCTGAGCACACATATGGAAAGTAAAATGTAATTACAGTTTTTAAAAACATTTCTTATATAAAAGAAGAATGCTCTCAGACATATTTTTTCTTCTACATTAATTTTACCAACTTGAAAGCCAGAATTTTTTTTAAATCATTAGATGGAAAGGAATATGTTAAAATTCTTCCTCCTTTCTTTGTAATTTTCGCCAGAATATCTTCCTCTTAAATATTAGAATTCCCCTGTGATGAATACAAGGCCTCTTTCTTGCTGTCATATTAAATACTTCGAATATTTTGCCATGGCTGAAAAAAATACAATTATATATGAGCCTACTATGGTGACACTGGCATTTATTTAATCCTGGCGCTCAGAACTCTGTGAGTTCCAGGCCAGCCAGGCTACAAAGAGACCCTGTCTCAAAAACAAAACAAAACAAAGAAATCATTACATACTAAAAGTTCAAAAGATACCTGGCAGACCTACTGAGCTATTTGCCTACCCATATGTCAACTTCCCCTTTACCCTCAGATTTCTTTTGGCAGTCATAGCTCACTAAGTAGCACCACTATTCATTAGGCTGTTATTTGATTTCCTATAATCTTTAGACTAAAATCAGAAATACTTACAACAGTTCATAAGGTTTTAAAATTTTGTACTTATTATTGTATGATATGAGTACAGATGACATGTAGAGGTCAGAGAATAATTCTGGGGACTCAGTCCTATCTTTCCACAGTGGGTCAGAGGATCAAGTAGCACAGTCTACAAGGTTTTCTGAATCTGGTTGTCAGAGGCAGTTTATCCCAGGCCATGGTGGTGCATACCTTTAATCCCAAAACTTGGGAGGCAGAGGCAGGTGAATCTCTGTGAATTAGAAGCCAGTCTGGTCTACAGAGCTAGTTCCAGGACAGTCAGGGATACATAGAGAAACCCTGTGTGAGACACTACCCCCCACCCCCGCAACACACAAAAAAAGAAGGCAATTTATCCCTTGTGTGACATTTTCCTTTACTTGTACTGTGGATTTACTGACCTCCTTACTGTCAAAGATTAAGTGGTTGGAAGACCACTATCCTCTTTGACCCCCTGCCCACCCTGGGAAGGTCAGCTGCAATGTCTGCTGGCAACAGCAGCCTTGAGGAGAAAATATCTGCCTACTGCCATCTGAGAGCATGGAAGCAGAACTTCCTCCTTCTTTCCTCAGAAACTGAGCTTTCAAAAAAGCAAAAGAGAGGCTGGAGAGATAACCCATGGTTAAAATCACTGGCTGCTCTTCCTGAGGACCCAGATTCAATTCCCAGCACCCATGATGTGACTAACAACCACTTAAAAAACTCCAGTTCCTGGAGGATCAGGGGATCTGATGCCCTCTTCTGGCCTCCACCTGCACTAGGCATGCATTTGGTGCACAGACATACATGCAGGAAAAACACCCCTACACATAAATTTTAAAAAACATAAGCAAGGTAAGTTGTTGGTTTAACCTTCCCACCTGAAATACCAGCACTCAGAAGGCTAAGGCAAGAAAACCACTTGGGCTGCACATTAAATTCAATGTCAACCTTAGGCATTAGGGAGGCCCTGTCAAAATAAGCCAACAAACACAACCACAAAATAAAACAAAATCCTGAGCTTTTAAATGAGACCTCAACAGTTGAAAGCCTGACTTAACCTCATGAGAGATCGTATGCTAGGCACCCAATTAAGCCATACCTAGATTCCTGACCTACACACACCACGGATAATAAATATTCGTATTAAGCAGGCATTTAAAAGCGTCTTTTTGGGCTTACAATAATAAAATAGTTAAATATATTTTAGGGACCAATACCATCCCTTTTCAAGAATAAATAGGGTTATGATCAGTCTAGTAAAAGTTTCAGAACTGAGACAATTTAAAAAAAATCCAGACAGCATTAACATGTATAGAAACCAAGAAACTCGAGGATAATTACTTTAAAAAATAAATTCTCGTATTTATTGAAAATTTCAGAGTTACATCAAAAGCAATTTTGCCCCCGGGTGGTAGGCAAGGGCTGTAGCCCTGAGCTTCTTTCTTTTTAACTATTTATTTCGAGACAAAGGCTCATTAAATTGCCCAGACTAGCCTTGAACTGGCTCCATATCCCAAGCTGACCTTGAATTTGCGACCCTCCTGCCTAGCAGCTGGACTACAGCATTGAGCCATCAGGCTGGGCTGTCTGAGGTAATAATAACCTGGGTGCCATAACCCTCGGTGGCTTGGCAGAAAGCGACTTTCTCAACGGTCAAAGTTCTTGCACCTTCCTGTTCTATTTTCGGACAGGAAGGGCAGGGAGGACAAACACCTCTGCCCCAGGGCCAGCTGTCACGGAGGAGGCGTGCAATGCCGAAGCTCCGCGAACGTCTAGCCAGGGTGCTGGACCTCCGAACCTGGAGACGGGACACCCCCGACGCCCTGCCGAGGGCGCGGGCAGGACCAGGACAGCCGGTTACCTCGGAGCCGAGGAATCCCCGGGCGCCACAGTGCCCACGGCTGCCCCAGGCCCTCGCCAGCGGACAGACGCTCTGGGCGGCTCCGTGCCGCAGACGGAGAAGGCGCCACAGCCGCGAGGACAGCGCCATGACTGACAGCGCACCAATCTGCCCGAGCGCGTCCCCAGGACTCCACCGAACGGGGCGGGGCGAAAGGCACGACCGGAACCCTGGTCTCCAGCTTCCTGGCCCGCACCTCCGCCACGCCCGCTTCCGGGCCTCGGGTTCCAGAGACCGGAAATAAATCGACGGGTCTGGGGGGGCGGGGGGCGGGAGGAGGCGCTGGCGGGGGGGGGGGGGGGGGGGGGGGGGCGTCACGCATGCGCGCAGCAAGCTCCGGCGAGCGAGAGAGCCCCCCGGTGGCCAGTGGCGGCTGTCTGTTGTAACTTTTGCAAAAGCTTTCCTACCTTTGGCCAAAGTGTAAATTAACAGAGCAGAGCTGAAAGTTCTGAAGTGGACCCAATAATGTATGCATGAAAGAAAAGGTGATTAAAAGCAGTTTTTCCATAATCCTCCAAAGTCTCCAAAAGTAAAGTCAATCCTGGCACTTACGGTCCTTTTTGAAAATAAGTGCTTGAATGAATTAAATTGTCCCACATAAGGGGACAGTGGAAATCCACAGACTGGAGGTGGTGGAAGCTAAAGTTGGGGAGCCGACCGAGAAGAGAAGGAAAGGAAAGGCCCACCAGGTCTGAGTCAAGAATACTAACTAGGAAGAGGAGGAATCCTACCATAGCCAGACATTCAGAGTGCTTGCCTTAGCTTGCATGAGGTCCTGGGTTCAATTCCCAGCACTGCATAAGACTAGAGTGGTAGCACATGCCTATAATGCCAGCACTGGCGAGGTGGACGTATAACCACGAGTTCAAGACCATCCTCGGTTACATACCGAGTTGAGTGCTAGCTTGAAATCTGGAAGACCATGTCTCAATAAAGAAAAAAAGAAGTTGATTGTTGAAATCCCAGCACTATTTTATCTTGAATTTAAGGACAGCCTGGGCTACTCAGTGAATACCAGTCTAGCCTGAAATACAGAATATGACTGTTAGACGCTGCATTTAAAAAATGCAGACAGATAAATATCCCAGTGCTTTCCTGAGTGGTTATATCCTAGAGATGGCAAAAAATAAAATTATAATTTAACTTACATTTATTGCCTTAAATTATTTAGATCCCTGTTTGCTAAAGGTGCTATGTGGTGCTGAGAATTTAATGTCATTTAATCGTTATGTCATTAAATTATCTCATTTAATCATCATTAGGTATAGATAGTTTCTGCATTTTATAAATGAGAAGACATGTGCTTCAGCAAGAGTTTGAATTCCCCAGAGTCACTCATGCCCATGAAAAAAAATCGAGAGAACTGGTATTCAAACCAGGTTTCACAGCTGCAAAGACATAAGATGTTGCCTTTTCTATTATAACATGCTTATGTCAGTGATAATGGAAAAATATGCCTGCAAGATTTCTCTAAACTGTGGCAAATCTACAAGACACATTCTGTTTGGTGTGTGTGTGTGTGTATGTGTGTGTGTGTGTGTGTGTGTGTGTGTGTGTGTGTGTATGTGTGCATGTAGGAGAGAGAGAGAGAGAGAGAGAGAGAGAGAGAGAGAGAGAGGAAATGAGAATGAATATTTCTTGGAATTAGAACTGGAGTTACAAGGGGTAACTTCTGAGCTTTTGTCCCCACATTCTAGTTCTTATTCCAAACTTTATTGTATTGGTCTCTAGTTGTCTGGGAAATCAACTATAATTTTATGATAATAGCAACTCATGTATATATGCCACAACATCATGCACTATTTAATAAATATATAAAATTTTATTTGCCAATTTTCATGTTAAATAAATGTTAAAAATACATTATATTGAAAATATGTATATGTCCTTCTCAACTTCTGTTGAATCCTTTTATGTATCTCTACTTCCAGCTAGTTCAATATTGCTAAATAATATGTTTATACACCATTGGAGGCCATGCTCATGCTGAAATTCCAATTCTGATGTTTCAGCTACAATGAATTCTGGGTTTATTGTGTTGTTGTGAATAAACCCAGGGCTTTGTACATGTTAGGCAAGGGCTCTGGTTATAGAGCGTGCATGGCCTTACCCAAAATATATTTCATTGGTTATACTTATGCTGAAAAACTTGTTTACCTGAAATTCAGATTTAGCTCAGCATCTTTTCTGGCAACCTTACTTGGTTTTCCATGGTCAGGCATCATCAGTTTAGAGACTAGGGACATAGTTTATGGTAGAGTGCTTACCTTGCCTGAACGAAACCATAGGTTTAATCTCCTGCACTATCTATTTTCCTGAGTTAACCTCAGTCATTTTTTTTTTTTTGGTTTTGGTATTTTTGGCAGAAATGTTATGTGATATATATATCCTTTCCATCCCTTTGCATACTGAAGCTTTTGATATGATTTTGTCCTATTATAGGCAAGTTAGGATTTTTTTTTTTGTACATGGTTTGAACCCAGGACCTTGCACGTGTGAGATATAATCCATAGCATGCAATGGGATCTGCTTAAGAAACAGATTTAAAGCACTGGTTCTGTAGCTTGGCGAGAGAATGCTAAAGTGTGAGGCCTTGGGTTCGATCCCTGACCCTGTAAGAAAAGGAAATAAAAGGTAGATCGGACACTTACTGCCTTTCTTAAGTTTGTTATTGGCATACTCTCCCGGCACACAGAGACTACACTTTCTGCTATCTTTTCTGTGTCTTTTTGGCTTCATTCCCTGACCCCTCTCCTCTTCCCCCTTCACCACATGCAGCTCAGTAAGTTTCAGTCCCACTGTCTTTTTGATGCTACAATGAGCTGCAGGCTTCACTCCATGATATTTTCTTTGCCAGTATTCCTTCGTATTCTACTACCAAATAACTTCTTCCTTTCCCCATATGACCAAACTTTCTTACCTGGCTAATTTTAATTTCTCTTTCCTTAAAGAAATGCCTCTTAATTACTCCTAAATATATTTTAATTTATTAATTCATAATTTCACTTTTACTTTTGTGATTATTTGTTTGTCTGGAGTATATTTTGGAGGAATTGGTAGCATATGCTTTCATTATACTATAATTTCAATTAGTCTGATTTTTTCACTTATAAAAAGATATGACCCAATTTTCCTATTCATTCAGTAAATATGTATTATGTATATATAATGTTAGGTCTCAGACCTCGGACAAATGGCTAACTGAGGTGCCTATGTAACCTATCAAAGCAGACTCTGGCCACCAGATTCTCAGCAACTATTTGTTACTGGGTCATCCTGGCTGGCATACCCCTCCCTGTACCCTAAACACTATAGCTCTGCCCTATATAACCCAGCCATTTTGGCTATGCCTCTTTCTTGGTCTCCTGGCCTCTCGGCTCCCGGTTTTTCTTCTTTGCTCTTTCACTCTCCCATACTCTCTTCTCTCATGGCCCTGTTCAGTCTGGACACTTCCAGATACCTCTGGCTGTGTTCTTCACAGCCTTATTGTATCTACAATAAACTTCCTCCTCCACCTATACCTAGGAGCATCAAGTTCTCCTTTTTTTTTTCTTTTTTCTTTTCATTTATGTAATATGCTTTCTACTCTTCAAGTAACAAGAAAAGTAAAAACAGTATGAAATACTATATGGTGATAAATGCTAACTAGGAAGATGAGGGAGAAAGAAGTATAAATATATTTCTGTAAGGCATTGCAATTTCATTTTATTTCTTTTTTCCCTTTCAGTGTTAAATATTGTTCATGCCAGGTATTTAGTACTTTATAACTGCACAACTACCTCAGCCAAACTTTCCAATCCTAAATTGGATAATGGCCAGAAAAAAACCCTCACTCAGAACTTTTGAATTAATACCCGAAGAAGTGAGTCCCGAATATCTTTAGGGACAAAGCATTTTGTGCAGAGTAAAATAAACATGCAAAGTCCTGCTCTGGAAAAGTAAATGGAAATTCTCATGACCAGCAGGCAAGGAGGAAGTAAGAGATAAAGATCAGTGACAAGGTGGGTGGCCCGCAGTATAGCTTCTCAGTGACACTGTAAGAATTTTGAATGTTTTCTTTGTGTGACTAGGTCAGATCTAATTTACATGGTATGTTGGGTGGGGCCTTCTGTGTTGAGAACAGACTAAAGGGGAGCATGGTTGGCCTCCGAGGGGCAACCCCCTTAAAGGAAACTAACTCTCCTTCTCCCAGCAGTTATCAGTTGCCAAGGGTGAGACCCCATGCCCATTGCCCCTCTCCCTGCTGAGATGCTGTCTAACTTGAGCTTTGGCAGACCTTTTGCATGCTGTCACAATTGCTATGAGTTCATATGTGAAACTGCCTAGAAAACTATTTCCTTACAGTTACTCACTGACCCAGGCCATTCTCATTGACACTGACCATTCTTTCGTTTCTGCCTTCTTTAATGATCACTGCTGGGTCTTGGGTGGGTGGGGGGCGCGGTATGATGGTATGATACAGATATCCCATTTAAGGCTGACCTTTCCTTCGTCTCTTATTCTCTGTGCTTTTGCTATTTGTGGGACTCTGTGTTAAATAGAAGCTTCTCTGCTGAGCGTTTGAGAGGTGCATTAATCTATGGGTTTAGCAGTAAGTCATTAGGAGTTGGTTTAATACTCTGTCCATTAGCAGTACTAGGTTCCTGCTTAGGGCCTATGACTTGTCTAGCCGTAGTTCTTGTCTTGATAACAGTGCCAGGTGTGAGTTTCATTTTGTGGAGTGGAACTTAAATCCAAACAGAAAGTGGTTGGTTATTCCCATGATATTTCTGCCACTATTGCACAGTGGGGCCTGTCTTTCCAGGCTGGTTATTACTGTAGCTTACAGGGTTCACTGCTGGGTAAGACTGAGATTACTTTTTTCCTCTGGTAGCACACATAACGTATTCCATTCTTTGGCTATTTCTATTGAGTGCTTCTTCCCACCCCCTTTTTCTCTTCAGTTTAAGTGAACTAACTTTTTCCAGGTTCATGTAACTACTGTTATTTTGTTTATTTTTATCCCATTCTTGTGCAGAAGTTTTAAATTTTTATGCAGTAGATGTGACATTGAGTACCCATCACAATAGGCTTTTTGAGATCAGTACAGTCTGATGACTTTAGGCAAACAGAACAACTACTTATCTACCACAGTTCATGTTATTCATTTGTACCTTTCTCACTTATGAAAAGGTACATGGCACTAAAAACATTCCAAGGCTTTTGTGATGCTTAAATAAAATTAAGCATGTAAAATGACTCAGGGAGTATGCACACTGAACCCACTCTACAGGATGGTTAAGACTTGGCATTTCATTCTTAAAAATTTTTGTCTGGATCTATTCTCCTTTTTAAAGATTTATTTATTTTATATATGAGTGTTTTGCCTGCATGCATGTATGTGTATATATATTTGCCTGCTACCCTTGGAGGTCAGAAGAGGACATTAGATCCTCAGGAGTTCCAGATGTTTGTGAGCCACAAACCGGGAACTCTGCAAGAGCAAGTGCTCTTAACCTCCGAGCCCCCCAGATCTGATATTTCAATGTCTAAAGTCAACTACGGATTTTGTGAGAAATCTTAAAACGTCCGCGGGCAGAAGCTCAGCGAAGAAAACTGGAGTGAAATGGGGTGGGGAGCAAGTTCACTACCAAAAGCAAAACTTCATCTTAGAACCACCCACAAGCCCCGCCTTCGCCCCGAGCCGCTCAGGACCCCGCCCACGAGCCCCGCCCCTCCGCGGGCCAGCCCTCAGGTTCCAGTAAAGCCCCTGCTCTCCTGGCCACCTTGCGGTGCTCTCTGCTGGGTCTCCACCCTCACTCCGCTTCACCGGCGACCTCGCACGTGAGTGCGTGACTTTTCCCAGTTCAGGAGCCCTGTGGCCCAGCCCCCGCCTGCAGCCTCCCGGGGAGCCGGCTGGTCCTAGCGGAGGGAATTAGGGCCCGCAGGCTTCGAGCTGCTCCGCCCGCCGGGCCCGGGCGCTGGAAGTGCTCCGCGGGCTTCCGGTGCCCACCCTGGGGGCTCCCCGGGCGTCGCGTGCCGGGTCCGCGGCCAGTCGAGGCTCGGCGCTCGAGGTCAGCCTTGGGCCGCGAGCACCTCCTGGGCCTGCAGCTGGCGCACCTGGACGGCGGAGCCAGGGATCGGCGGGCCCCAGGGAAGGGCAGGGTGGGGCGAAGGGTTCCATGCTCCGAAATCTCGGTCCCGCTCAGCGGGGAGAGATCGGTGAACCAGACGAACCGGTCGTGTCGGGGGGGGGGGGGGGGGGGAACGGTGGAGGAGAGGCTGCACGGTATGGGAAAAGGTGATACTGAATTCGGTGCAAAACCAGGACTGCGTGAAGTCCTAGCAGCTCCTGCACCTGTACCGGCTTCGAAAGTCTGCCCGGTGCTTCGGGCTCACTGCCACAGGGCCTGGAGGAAGGGCAGTGGCATTTGTTTTTCACTCAGAAACTTGACAGAGCAAAGTGACCGTTAGTGCTGGACCTAATGCACTTGACGGTGATCTTCCAACTTTTGCTTCTTTCTGTTACCCGTTTGTGGCCGCCTCAGAATAATCAAATAGAGGGTAGGGCGGGTTTAAAAGTAGTAATGGACTGCAGTGATCCACAGCCACTGTGCTAGACAGTTTTTATATATGTTAGCTCACAGTTTAAATGGTGCTCTTATCTTTTCCATTCTTCAGGAAACCGGGCTTGACTTACTTTCGCTGTATGTGTGTCAAGTGATAGCATTAGGTTGCGATCCAGGTCTGTATGGTTTTATAGTATAAGATTTATAAATGTAAACGAACATGATTTCATGAGGAAGTTATCTGTCTAGTTTTAAGTATGTTCTGAGGTGTGTTAGCTGTCTAACGTTTGGGTAGGATACACAACCCTTTAAGATGTGTTTCTACATTTGTAAAGTAGATACAGTACTGCTATGTCATAGAGTTGTGAGGATTAAGTAAAATATTTGTAAAGCATTCAGCAAAGTGTCTGGTACACAAATAATGATAAACTATATACTCCCACACATCTTGTCAGCCAGTTGTACCCAAATAAAACCTGTTCGGGCCTAGAACATAGGTAGAGGGAAACAGCACAGCTTAGGAAAAGGGAACTGAGAAAAGATGGCATATGATAATAGCTGCAGTGACATTAATGGATTCTCAGGATTAATCTGCTTTTCAAGGCCTTTTTTTTTTTTTTTTTTTTTTTTACCTTTGTGACAGTTCTTTACGAAGGCAGTTCCTTTTGGCAACAGGACCATGCAGAAGCCCTCTTACTGAGGCAAACTGAATTTCTGGCTTTTACGGATTAAAAGATGCCGTGCACAGAAAGAGAATGAAGTATTCTCTTTCAGAATCTCTTCTGATCTAACCCCAAAAGCTGAGGTTTTAGAATTGGGGGAACAAAAAAGGCATGTTGCTAATTGGACATCTCTTCTAATTTTACTTAGAAATGTGAACATTTGTAGACAGTCATCTATAAAATAACTACATGTAAGAAAGCTAACAATTATATATTTTAAGATATTTTATGGGACTGGTGATGTAGCTCAGTGTAAGGGAACTTGTCCAGCAAAGTGGAGGCCTTGGGCTCAGTCCCCCAACACTGGAATAAACACGTAAAATTAAACAGAATATTTATTATCATTCTTTGCAACAGAATTCCTTTTGCACCATCTGCTCAGACATCTAGTTCATATTGTTCTTATGCCTTGTCAATTCTTCGTCTGCTTTTCTATGTGGTGTTTCTTGCCATCTTCTGTTGCTGTCCCCGGATTTTATCTGTTATTGTTAAACTACCTCTTTCTAAAAATTTCTTTCATCAGTGATTTAAGTATGCTTGGTCGCCAAGTCAAGAAAGAAAATGTTGGCTGCGAAAAATGATGTCATGATATTTTGACCTTTAAATATTCATAACGAGGCTCTATTCTTATCAAAGCATGATCTGTTTTCTAAAAATTTCATTCATCAATGATTTAAGTATGCTTGGTAGTCAAGTCAAGAAAGAAAATGTTGGCTGAGAAAAATAATGTCATGATATTTTGACCTTTAAATATTCATAACGAGGCTCTATTCTTATCAAAGCATGATCTCTGTAATGGATCTTTTAGTAAGAATCAATACCACTTCCATTAGTTCCTGGGCCCTTGAGGAGTCCAAGCCATTGCTGCCAAGTCCTTTCTGTTACCTTCATCTTGCAGTCTGACTTTCTTCTAGTGTTTTCCTTTATGTTCTTAAATTTGTCTTGTAGGTGCTGATGTCTAGGTTAAAACCAAAATGAATGAGGTAGAAGACTTGTAAAAGATTTGTTTAAGAGTTGTCAAGAGTTTAAATAATCACTTATCATAGATTTTATTTAATATTAAGTTTCTCATACTGATAACCAACTGAACTTACTATATACACATTTTGATAAGATTCTGATAACTATGTTTAAACCATACCTGTAGCTATGTTATATACTGGTTTAAATGTATTTGAAGAAGGCTGGGAGTGGGATACTGGGAATTTTTTTTTTTTGGAAAGGCTTTTCATTCCATATTTACACACACACATAAGGTTAACTGAATGGAATCATAACTTTTAAAAAGACATGAAAATTAGTCAATATTGTGGCCACACTTACCATTTTGTATTAGGTATATAGTACATTAACAGTTCCTCCATGAGAAAGGACTATTACAGTCATTTTAGTAAACTATTTTGAAATACCATCTTATGAAATGGATGCATTATATCTAGTTCCTGTAAAATTAGCAAAGCAACAATGTGGGATGTGGGTGCAGCTTCAAGTGTATGATGATGCTACTCTGGTGTTCTGTTTTGCTTTGCTCTGTTTGAGCTGGTTTTTTTTTTTTTCTTTCCTTCCTTCCTTCCTCTCTCCCTTCCTTCCTCCCTCCCTTCCTTCCCTTTTTTGGTTTTTTGAGACAGGGTTTCTCAGTGTAGCCCTGGCTGTCCTCTGCCTCCAGAGTGCTGGGATTAAAGGCGAGTGCCAGCACTGCTGGCTTTTCCTCTCCTCCCCTCCCCTTGCTTTCTTTTTTTTTCTTTTTTTAAGAGTCTTAGGTAGCTTGGTGGAACTGGATGATGACCTTCAACTCTTCCCTCCAAACACCAAGTTCTGGGATTACCGGTCCTTACAACCACACCCAAGTACTTCATTACTTTGTAATGCAGCTTTTGTTTTATAATTCCTCTAGACTTTAAGTTGACAATCACTATATGTTAAAATTTATATTTGCAAAGGAGTGGAAGGACTTGAAGAAAGAAAGAAAAGGAAACAGCCAAGCAAAACAGAGCACTAGAGTAGTGTGATGGCACTTGAAGCCACACCCACATTGTTGCTTTGCTAATTTTACAGGAACTAGACATAGTGCATCCATTTCATACATAGGAGAAAAGGAGTGGAAGTCCGGTTCCATCTGCTTGGGGGTCTTTTTTGGGGAGGGGCTTCAAGACAGGGTTTCTCTGCATAGACTTAGCTGTGTGGAATTTGCCCTGTAGACCAGACAGGCCTCAAACTCACAGAAATCCCTGTGTCTCCCTCCCAAGCACTGAGATTAGAGGTGTGCACATTGCCACCACCACCACCACCACCAGGCTTTTATCACCAGAAGTAAAAATCTAAACAAATGTTTCCTGATGGTATTGTCAAAAGAAATTTATAAAATATCTAGAAGGTACAGCGCACCTACAATATTTGTTTTCCTTTCCTGCTTTACTTTTCTCCTTAGCCTTTACTACCACGTAACATGCTGTTAATTTTACTTAGCTAGTTTATCTTTATATAGTGTAATCACATTATTGCAAGAGTCTGTTTTGGTCTGTGTTGATTCCCCAACAACTCAGAATAGTGCCTGGCACAGGGCAGGTGATCCATAGGAATTTGATGAGTGAGTATTGAATAATAATGTTATTAAATATTAGTGATTGGGAAATGTAAAAGGATTTGCCAGAAAGTTAAAAACAGCTGTGATGTATATGGTAATCAATCATGAAATGAATATTTTTGAAATCAGAAAATATCTAAACATCTTCATAGTTTTGTGCAATATATAATCGTTTATTTGTGTTAGGAATGCCATAACATGATCTATAACACCATGAATGCTATAAACTTTCAAACTTTGAGAATGAAAGTAGTAGTTGTTTCAGCTTTAAACTGAAGGAATTTGTTTGTTTATTTTGGGGTAAGATCCCAGGCTGGGCTTGAACTCACTTCTTCCTGCTTCAGCCTCCTAAATGCTGGGATCCTGGCATGTAAGACCATCAAATGCTGGGATCCTGGCATGTAAGACCATCGACCCTAAAAGAACTTTTCTATCATTGTTCACTATGAACTAGAGAGGCACTATGTGACAAGTGAAATGCTGATCTTATCCAGCAGAATGGTCCCGGTACCCAGCTAAGAAGGGAAGAAAGGGAGCCATATTTAAAAAGCAGGTGTGTAGAGTCAAGACATAGTTCACAAGGCAGTGGGAAGTTCCAATGGCTCAACATGTGGAGGTAAGGAGCAGTGGAAAGTTCATAGAGAGCTCCAAGCAAAGGGGACTCATAAAGGACTTGAGTTTCAGTAGATCATATGCCTGAGTACATGTCCACACTTCTGCACAGCTGGCCCACAGCTTTACTGTCTTTACTTACATTGTTGGCAGCTGATTGCCCCGATTTATATTGAAGTAAAGATGAGTTCCGTTGTTGGTGTGCATTTTATAGCCAGGTGTGCTCAGATGTTTGTTTGTTTCTTTTTTTTTTTTTTGGTTTTTCGAGACAGGGTTTCTCTGTGTAGCTTTGCGCCTTTCCTGGAACTCACTTGGTAGCCCAGGCTGGCCTCGAACTCACAGAGATCCGCCTGGCTCTGCCTCCCGAGTGCTGGGATTAAAGGCGTGCGCCACCATGCCCGGCCAGATGTTTGTTTCTTTCTTTTTTTTTTTTTTTTTTTGGTTTTTCGAGACAGGGTTTCTCTGTGTAGCTTTGCGCCTTTTCCTGGAACTCACTTGGTAGCCCAGGCTGGCCTCGAACTCACAGAGATCCACCTGGCTCTGCCTCCCGAGTGCTGGGATTAAAGGCGTTCGCCACCACCACCCGG